GCTGATTATGCTGGTAACGTAACGACAAGGAGTACTTGCACTAAGTCAGACAGTACATTAGCTTACCTGGTTAATGATATTAATGAGTGATCTTCTGGAAACACAGAAAGTTAAACCTATTATATTTGTAGATAACCAGAGTGCTATACATCTTGTGAAAAACCCAGAATTTYATAGAAGATCAAAGCATATCGATATAAAGTACCATTACGTCAGGGAACAATATACAGAAGGGAAGTTCATGTTGGAGTACGCGAGGAATAAAGATCAACTAGCGGACATCATGACAAAACCAATTCCTCTCAACTGTTGCAAAAACAGCCAATAATATTATGATACTTTGGTGCTTAATATAGTAGCTACTAGATTGTATAGGTATTCCGGTATTCGATTTGTTTCTTGGAATTAAAATAAAACTTTGGCCATACATATTAAATGCCATTATACAGTACTACTCGATATACACAAATTTCTGAGTAGGTTGAATATTCGTTTAAAATGTATTAAAATAAATAAAACATTTAGTTCAAGCAATTGAGATAAAATATCTTCTATGAACTACTGTCTAATTTTTTTTTATTTGCATTTTTTGCCTTTAAATAACAAACAGTCAGTCTAATAATACATACATATCAACTATGTATACATTTATATGAAGTAATAGTGTTATAGTAGTCAGTGGCATACTAACGGGGGAATAGGGTTTGCGGATAAAATCTCCCCCAACATTTTTGAACGATTTAATTTTGAATGTTATGTTCAGGTGTCACGTCATTCAATAAGTTTATTAAAAATTTAACCCCCCTCCCCAATTTCAGGTCAATGTATGTAACTGGTAATAGTGTATTAGTGTCACCATATAGAAAAACGTTGAAGTATTTACTACTTGGAGAAATGTAAGTAATAGTTTTGGATAAATTACTTTTAAAAAGTATTAAAAGCTATTTTGCTTATTGATTGATACTTAGATATAAAAGTAATTAAGTTACTTTACTCAGTACTCAAATAAAATTACTTTACTTTTCGAATAGAAAAGACTTTTCGTTATTCTTCTTCTCAGCTTACCGGTCCGTTGAGGACCATTGCTGCCTTCAAGAGGCCTGYCATCTATCTCTGTTGTACGTCAGCTCAAAAGTTACATTTTGGCCTATCTCTTTCAAGTCTCTGGTTATCACATCTGTCTACCGGGTTCTTGGCCTTCCTAGGGGCCTTGTTTTGTTAATTTTTTCAACAAGTACTTTTTTTATTAGTAGTCCATCTGCTCTCCAATTGTGTCCCAACCACTCTAGTAGTTTGTTTCTAATAAACGCTAAGATATTTGGTCTTTTGTACAATTTCTGTAATTCATCGTTTGTTCTTCTTTCGTAGGTATTGGTTTCTTGGCTGAAATGTGATCCATAGATATTCCGGAGTACTTTTCTCTCAAATRTTATTAATTTCCTTTCATCGCCTTTTGTTATGGACCATGTCTCGCAAGCATAAGTTACAATTGGGCACAGGTAGCTATGATATAGAAGAATTTTTGATGTCCTTGAAAGTTATTTTGATTTTAGTATTTTGACTATACTGTAATAACACCTGTTTCCACACATAATTCTTTCATTCACTTTTTGATGCATATTATTCTGTTTATTGACATTTACTCCAAGGTATTTAAAATTATCTACGGCTTAGAATTTCATGTTACTAATTAAAAGATCGTTTGTATTGTGATTATTTCTTGACATCATCATATACTTAGTTTTATTTTCATTTATACATAGGCCCTTTGACTTACTTGTCTTGACCAGTTTCTCGGTTGATTGAACAATTTCTTCTTTCGTCTTCCCTAATACTACAATATCATCTGCATAAGCTAAAATTACCGACTCCCCAATTATGTCCATGTTCCGTTGTTCGTTTGTATCTCTTACTACTTTTTCCAGAGCTAGATTGAATAATGTGGGAGAGAGGGCGTCTCCTTGGCGTAGACCAGATTTTACCTCAAACGTTTCCGAGTAATTTTGTAAGTAGCGTATTTTACAGATTGTCTTCTCATTACACATTTTAACGAGATTTATATGTTTCTTTGGTATTCCGAGTAGTTCTAACCCTTTCCATAGTTCCTTTCTGTTTATACTGTCATAAGCTTGCCTGAAGTCAACTTCTCTTTACAAACAAAAACTATTATGTTTTTGATTTCTTATCAATTTATTGTCATTCTACATGCAATAATTTAACTATGCATAAATTAATAGTATGTTAATAGGAACATAAAAATTAAAAACCGTTGTCCATGCTACATATTCACATATTCATAGAAAAGTAGAAAACGTTCTTTGTATAGGTGCAATTTCAACTTTTGACTTTGGGGAGAGGGAGGGCTGAATATATTAAGACATGCAGACATTTATAATAGTTATAGCATTTTAAAATTGTATATCCTA